ATGTGGGCTTATTTTATGGCAATGATTGCAATACCGATCTTGTTGGTTATGTCGATGTGGAGTATTTATCTGACACACACAAGGCTTGATCTCAAATATGTTATGTGTTTACATGTGTGGCACTGTTATATCTTGGCGATTGACTAAGCAATCAATCGTGACTACTTCTTCTAATCATGCTGAGATAATTGTTATTCATGAAGCAAGTCGAGAATGTGTATGGTTGAGGTCTACTATACATCTTATTCGAGACAAATGTGGTTTGAAGTGTGATAAACTACCCACAGTTTTGTATGAAGAAAATACAACATGCATAGCCCAATTAAAGGGAGGATTCATAACAAGAGGTTGTGATGGTAAGCAACCCCCACTTCCAACTGAGAGGTTGTGAGTTCGAGTCTCCCCAAGAGCAAGGTGGGAAGTTCTTGGAGGGAAGGATGCCGGGGGTCTATTTGGAAACAGTCTCTCTACCCTAGGGTAGGGGTAAGGTCTGCGTACACACTACCCTCCCCAGACCCCACTAAGTGGGATTATACTGGGTTATTGTTGTTGTTGTTGTTGTTGTTGTTGTATTCATAAAGGAGTTAGGACAAAGCACATTTCACATAAATTATTATTCACACATGATCTTCAAAATAATGGTGATATTAATGTGCAACGGATTCGTTCAAGTGATAATTATGAGCACGTGATTTTTGTTTCGCACGACAATCGCTCCAAAAGGAAGTAAAAAATAATAATTGGCCTTGCTGTACAAATTTTGGATTTCTGTGCGGCACCTTGTTAATTTATTTGTGACTTCGGCCCATTTTTATTTATTTACTTTATTAAAACAAAATTCAAAAAAATATATATGTGTCCTGCATAATTCGAACCGTAATCCGGTCGTTAAATAGAAAATCATAAACGGGCATCTTTGTCCGTGATTTTGTTTTGTTTGATTTTACTTGTTTTGAAATATTTTAGTATATAATTGTGTTGAGTGTGTATTTAATTTTTTGATTTTTGTTTAGTTTTGTTTTTAAATAAATAAGGAAAAGAAATATAAAAAAAAAAANTTTTTTTCCCATAGGGTTTTTTCCTAATAAGGTTTTAACGAGGCACATTATTTATGGACATCCAAGGGGGAGTGTTATGATAAAAATCAAAATATGGTGGATGTCTACTCTCCCTCCATGATCTTTCTCTCAAATGGTTAATGACATATTCAATGACATATTTTCTTCACTTTTCATGCCTATATAAAGACTTTGTAATAGATAGGAAAATATACACAATTTGAAGAAGAAAATCTCTTTCTTCTCTCTATCTCCATTTCTTGTTCATATTTTACTAAATTGCTTTTATTTCCTTGTTCCAGATTGTTACTTTGAGTTATATTTCATAACAGTTTATTTATTACTCCTACCTTATTTCTTTTGGGTTACGTTAGGGAGAGAGGGGATCACTGATACGTGAACGTGGACGTCGTTGTTGAGGACTAAGTAGACGGTGCCGTTAAACCTGAATTTCCTTTTTTTCTTTTGTAGTTTTCCTTATTCCCCTTTTTTCTTTACAAACAAAAAGCAAAAGAGTATTCTCTCTCTCTCAGTCTGTACAGAATTTCCAAGTCCTGTTCATCTCTTCTCAATTCTACTCAAAGCTGATCCGATCTCAATTGTCGCTATGTATTTCTCAGTAAAATCTCCTCTTCTGTAAATTTATGCACATATACAGAGTTTTAGTTTTGCTTGTGAATTAGCAAGGATAGAAACAATGGGGTGTACACAATCGAAGATCGAGAATGAAGAAACTGTGACCCGATGCAAAGAGCGAAAGTTTTTCATGAAAGAAGCTGTATCTTCCCGTAACGCTTTCGCCGCCGCCCACTCCGCTTACACTATGTCTCTCAAAAACACTGGTGCTGCCCTTAGCGATTACGCTCACGGCGAAGTTCAATTCCCTTCTACTGCCGCCGCCACCTCTTCCCCCTTACCCGGTGGTACTCCTCCCCTCTCTTCCACCCCCTTAGACATGCCTCCTCCTCCTCCCCTCCCTCCGTTTTCCAATCCTTCTTTCCCACCTTCCCCTCTTCAGCGTGCTGCCACTATGCCCGAAATATCCATCCCCGAACCCCAACCGAAACGATCCGATATGATTATAGAAGAGGAAAACGAGGATGATATGGAAACTGAAAGCACGCATAGTTTAAGGCATCGTAGCAGTAAAAGTAGCGGCGGCGGCGGTGGTGGTGGAGGAACTGGGGGATTGCAAACGCCTCCTTCTCCACCACGGACACCGCCACAGAATAATCGAGCGCCTCCTCCTCCACCGCCGCCGGATAGCAAGGGGATGGCGTCCATGTCATGGGATTTTTTCTTCCCTTCAATGGACAACGTCCCCGGCCCTACACTAGCTGAGGTGGACGAGAGTAGGATTGAAAGAGATGATCTCGAGCGGAAGATGTATGACGAAAGGGCTAAGAGAGCTGAAAACGCTAATGAAACTGAAAGAGTGAGGAAGAACGAGATGCCAGAGGAGGCTGAGGTGGTAGAAACGGCAACGGAGACTCCATCAGAGCCACCTCCTCCGCCTCAAGTTGCCGCTAAAGTTGTGAAAAGAGTGAAAAATGTTGTTCCAGGAGAGAATAAAAAGAAAGGAGGTCAATTTAACCTTCTGCAGATATTCTCCGAGCTGGATGATTGTTTCCTTAAGGCATCCGAGAGTGCTCACGAAGTATCTAAGATGCTTGAGGCAAATCGATTGCATTATCACTCAAATTTTGCCGATAATAGAGGTATATAATGTGTTTTCTAGGTTTTGCCTTTTAGTCGATGGTGCAATGGTTGTTAATACACAGTTGACGTTGGCCGATCATGCTCAATAACAGTGTTATATGATGGCTACTCATAAAACTGCCATCTTTTTAAATATATTCCAGGATGTGTTACTCTTTAAATAAACTTTCATTCCTGGAGTTTGAATTGTCTATTAAATGTTAATGCCAATGTTTAAATCTCTGTATTTTTTCCTTTTTAGGACACATTGATCATTCTGCAAGGGTCATGCGTGTCATAACATGGAATAGGTCCTTCAGAGGCTTGCCAAATGCTGATGATGGATTGGATGACTTTGATTCAGAGGAACATGAAACTCATGCAACAGTGTTAGACAAGATGCTCGCATGGGAGAAAAAGCTGTATGATGAAGTGAAGGTGTGTTTATCTAACATTTTATTCTTCTTTTTGGTTCGAGTCTAATTGTCATGAATGAATTCTGTGTAGTTCTCTTATCTTTCTGTTGCATTATATTATCTGTTAGGTGCATTCTCTTTCTTCCATGCTTTTCCCTTCGCCTATTTGGTCTCCTCATAATCAAATCTTGTTGAGTGATCACTTTTAATTTTATATTCTATTTAGCCTAGTATACCTGCTTTTACTGAATGTTCTTTTCCATATAGTTGGAAGGGTAGTCCTTCCACCTCCATTGCGGTAATTTATTTGTTCTTCTTTTGCTATTACCGATTTTCCTTTAGATTTCCATCTATCTACTTCTTTTATTCTTGTTTTATTCTTTTCCTTTATGCTTTTTCTTTCTCTCCTTTTTTATATTCTTTTGGGGTTGGGTTGTGGGAGGGGGTGCAATGTCTGAAACATAGGATCCTGGGTTTTTTCTCCCAGTGCCAGATGGCTTCATCTATGAATTTAGGAGCATTTTTCTGAATGTTTCATGTTTTGTGAAGCATGAACACAAATATAGGACATGACTGACGATGTGATGATATTATATATGCTGTTAAACTAATCTTACTTAAATGTACATACTGGTTAGCATCTAGTATGGAGTAAATTAATCAAGATAAGAAGCAACGTTTTGAAATTGCAAAAATTAATTTATAAGTCTAGACAATTATAAAGCTCCACAAAATGATAATTTAATGATAGGGCTTCTGACTCTTACATGAACATAGGTCAACATTTCAAGGGATCTAAAACTTTTTATAATGTGTCGCATCAATATTGGGGCATACGAGGTACATCATGTTGTTGATAAGTGGCAAATGAAGCATCCGTGTAGCATGGAGTTCTTGCTAAACTTAGGCATCCTACTAGAAAAACCGAAGAAGCAGCTCCACTTAAATGTGTTGTTAGCTGTATATTGAGGTTGAACAATGTCAGGTCAGCATGATGTTTTGGCTTCTGATAATGATACCTGATGTAAAGCACTTAGATTAGAGTTACTTCCAAGAGCTGCTGCCCTTGAGTGTCAAAGACGATGTTGTAATGCATAATTCTCCTTTAACTTTGACTTCTCAGTATTTATAGATACTTGAGAGTTCCAGAACCTGAATCATCTTTGGTTTCTGACAAGTAGCCTAGTAGAAGCCCCTTTGTTTTAGGATAATGTCCTCTGGTGCTTTGTGTTTCCTTATGTGAGCAACTTGGTCATCAAGGATGTATTGCTTTGTGTGTCATGATGCCATTTCTGATTTGAAACATTACTTTTGGAATACTAAAGGTACTTTTAAGTCTTAAGTGATGTAGTATGCGAGTTTCACCGCCTGTACCCTTGATTATATGTAGTAATTGTTTTTCAAAAGTTAGTAAATCCAGGTGTACTCGTGGCATTTTAAATTATATTGTGAAGTTGTCAAAGGAATTATATAATGTATTTTGGGTTTTGAACTATCCTATCTGATATGCCCTTTCTCATGGATTTTTGATGATCCTTCACAGGCAGGAGAACAAATGAAACTTGAATATCAGAGAAAGGTTGCTTCATTGAATAAGCTCAAGAAACGTGGTACAAATACCGAGGCCTTGGAGAGAGTGAAAGCTACAGTAAGTCACCTACACACAAGATACATTGTCGACATGCAGTCTATGGATTCTACTGTTTCAGAGATAAATCGGTTACGCGATGAGCAACTTTATCCAAAATTGGTTGCTCTGGTTGATGGGTAAGTCTTTTAGACTGCATAGGCCAAGCCATATTGCAATCTGGTGTTCTAAGATGGAACTCACACACTGCCTTTGACAGCTGTTTTAAGAGCAGATTTTTCTTCCATTAAACTCTTTTTTCCTTTTTGTTTAAAATTTAAAAACTGTATCTTTCATCTGAGTTGATTTTATCTTTTGGAAAACCAAGGGCCTGACTGGCTAGTTTCTTTGAGACAAGGTCTATATCACCTGAAATATGTGAGTGAATGATTGTTTGGTGTCAGTTATGTATCTCGTCTGAAGTCCTTCAATTGTGGAAGAAATGTTTGTTTGAATTATTTCTTCCATTCCTTTCCTATGTCCCCAAACATTTATAATTTGTGTCAAAAAGAATGAAACATTAAAAAGTCCAAGTTGTTGCAGCTATTATTTGGTGAAGAAGGTAACTTGAATAATACCAAGAACAACTAGGCAGCCAATCTATTTGAACATTTATTCTTTTTTCCACCTTGGCCACTCAAATTTGCTGACTCAGAGATATTAATCCATAGGACTTTTCCTGAACTTTTGTTATCAATTGCAGGATGGCTATAATGTGGGAGACCATGAGAGGATATCATGTAAGTCAGTCTAAGATTGTGCAAGCGCTAAGGTCTTTGGATATATCCCAATCCCCTAAAGAAACAACCGAGCACCATCATGAACGAACTTTGCAGTTGTATGTTGTTGTCCAAGAGTGGCATTCACAGTTTGACAAACTGGTTACCCACCAAAAACAGTACATCAAAGCTCTAAACAATTGGTTAAAGTTAAATCTCATTCCTATAGACACAAATCTGAAGGAAAAGGTTTCGTCGCCACAAAGACCCCAAACCCCGCCAATTCTGTCACTTATACATGCTTGGCATGATTATCTTGACAAGCTTCCTGATGAGTTGGCTAGAACTGCTATTTATAACTTTTCAGCTGTTATAAATACTATCTTTGAATACCAAAAGGAGGAGATGAAGCTGAAGGACAGGTGTGAGGATACTCGGAGAGAGCTTAACAAGAAGACTAGGCAATATGAGGATTGGTATCACAAGTATATGCAGCGTAGAACGCCCCCGGATGAAATGGATCCAGATCAAGCTCATGAGGATAGTCTTGTGGTTGATCGGCAGCTACAGTTGGAGGCACTGAGGAAGAAGCTGGAAGACGAGGAGGAAGCATACCAGAGGCAGTGTCTTCAGGTGAGAGATAAATCTTTGACAAGCCTGAGAAGCCGCTTGCCTGAGCTTTTCGAAGCAATGTCAGATTTTTCCCTTGCCTGTGCGGATATGTACAGGGACTTGAGATCTATCGCAAAGCATCGTAATAGAAATGGCAACTCATGATCGGTGAATATATACAGCTTGTAGTGTAAACAGTGTACTGTATGCATTTTCCTTTGTAACAGCTTTGAGAGGTGTGATTTATTTATTACTTGTACTGTTGCTCGTATATGGATCAAAGAAGATTTGAGTTTCTGGCGGAATTTGTCAAGAAGCCAGCAAGTTCAGAATTATGTGCTCTCCGTAGAGGTTGCTGTGCCAATTCAAGTTGCCTACGAACGTCAAAGAGCAACGGCGACTTCGGCAACGGTTTCTCGTATATAAATGACGTTTGCCTAAACTATTCTTGTTATAAATTTTCTTAAGGATGTTTGTGTCATAGAAATTGGAAGTCCAAATAATGCTTGAGAATTTGGAACAGTTGATTTATAATTGCAACGGTCCAATTCTAATTAAGGGAACTTCTCTTCATGCTCCACAATTGGTGTAGATGCGGGCGGGTCTTATTGATGGTTCATTGGTGTTGAATGGTGGTTTAAGTGCTCCAAATGAATACAAATGAGCGGGGTGTTGTTCTGAGTTACAAAAATGAAACAAGAAAATGTAAAAGCTCAAAAATCAAACTGAATAAAGAACCGGTTCTCGACAGCAAATTCACTGCATTTTTTCGGAACCAATTTTCATGTTATGTTATAATATATGTTCTCTATAACAGCACTTCGCTATAACATCCAAAAATATTCGGAACAAACGAGGCTATTATATAGAGGTTTGACTGTATTATCAACGCGTAGAATCCAAACTCATCTAGGAACAAAAGCGGATCTAGGATTTTAAGACCATGGGTGCACCACCGGCTTTAACATAAGTTCGGTGCTCCTAAATAGTGTCAATTTTTTTGGTCAATAATGTCAACTGATATGAGAACATTTAGTATTTTATGCCTTATTATCAGTTTTAAATATTATTCAGAGAGATAGCGTATACAGTTCTTAAACCATTCAATTCTCACCCTCAAAATTCAAAACAAAGAGGAAAAATAAAATGCTAATAACAATTTAAGATAGTAAAATTTGAAAGTTGTACAAATGTGCAATAAGAAGCACAAAAAATCTTAACTAATTCTTTATATGTGAATTACTTACAAAAATAAACTATATGTTTGTAATAAAAATTATAGACGAAAGTTCAATAATTAAGTTGAAACAAGTCATTGCGTAATTTAATATTTAGTTAATAATTGGCAAACTATAACTAAAATATTCATTAAGAAACTATGCTAACAATTCAAAATTCTTTGAGGTATATGCAATTATAAACTAAAAATAAAAAAGGTAAAGAGAAAATTACTTAGATAGCAATTGGGATTGAGGTTGGCACAAATTGAGATTAGTGAGAATAATAAATATTACTAGGAAAAAACTGAAAGAGAAAAATAAGGGAGTAGTGAATGAGTCGGAAAGATAAAATGCAGGACCAAAATGTCCTTGGGGAAAGGAAACAAGTACCCAACCAGTGCACCACTTAGCTTTACAGAGCATGGGTTCCCAAAGAAAATATTAGACTATTTCTATGAAATGGGTTCAAGTGAACCCCAAAATATAGAGTAGATCCGCCCCTACTAGGAATGTGGTTGCATGAATGTAATTATTCATCCTTAACTGGAACTACCTCCTATCCATTTTAATTGATTTATTTACTGTTTTTACACATATTAAGGAATTTATCTTTTAATATTAATTAATAATGAAACTGACTATACTAACCTTTATCATCTCTTTAATATGTTCATTGAAATATAATAGATATTCCATTGTTTCTATTTTTCTTATGATTTCTGTGGTGATACTAATATTGTCTTTTTGTTCTCTTGAGTCGAGGGTATTTTGAAAACAGTCTCTCTATTCCTTAGGGGTAGGGGTAAGGTCTGCGTATACATTACCCTTCCTCAGACTCCACTAGTGAGACTTTAGTAAGTTGTTGTTGTAATAGACATTCTAGGACTTTTTACTTTAAGGGTGACTTCAAAAAAGAAAATAATTGTTTCTTGATATATGAAAAAAATCAAATAAAAGGCCAAAAAAGTAATTGAAATGGACTGGGAGAGTACATACATAAGAAACCCAAAAAAGTTTTTAGGCAAATGCAGTTGTTGCAGCAAAACCTCGGCATCAATCATCATTAAACCACGCCAAAAGAACATGAGTAAAATAGAAGAGTCTTAATCCGACAGAAACACTGGATTTGTGAGGGTGACGGACGCAGGCCGCCTCTCACTTTCCTCCTCCGTCTTCTTCAATTCTTCTCCTTATTTTATCTCCGGTCCCAATTCGGCTTCATTGCTAAAACCTTCACGCTATAATGACTTCCTCTAAATTTTCCGATCCATCCCCTACCCCGTACGACCCCCTCCCCACCTATCCCCAACCCCCTCAACAACCCCAATACATCATCGTCCTACCTCATTACTACCGTAGCCCTCGCCAATTGCTCCGCGTCGCTTGCCGTCGGTACATTTACTCCGCCGCGGTGCTCATCCTCCTCGCCGCCGCAGTCTTCTTTCTCTGGCCCTCTGATCCCGATGTCTCCATTGCCCGCCTCCGTCTCCGCCACCTCAAAATCCACACGTTCCCCAAAATCGCCCTCGACGTTACCCTAGACGTCACTGTTAGGATTCGTAATAAAGACTTCTATTCAGTCAATTTTCGCTCCGTAGCGGTTGCTATAGGGTACAGGGGTAAGCAGCTGGGATACGTCACCTCCGACTATGGTAAAATTAGGGCCAGGGCGTCTTCTTACATCAATGCTACGCTGGAGCTCAACGATATTAGCATTTTCTCTGACATTATTCCATTGATTGAGGACTTGGCGAGAGGTTCTATTACTTTTGATACTGTAACTCAGATTGGTGGTGAGCTTGGTTTATTCCTCTTTGATATTCCCATAAAGGTATGCTACTCTAGCTCTCTGATGCTATTGCATTACTTAATTACTTACTAACATTCTATAAGTTTATTAGCTGTTGTATTAACATCCTTGCTAAATGATAGTAGTATGATTGAAAACGAAAAATACAAATATTTCACCAGAAAGAATCTAGAAACAACTTTAGAGAGGAGAAATTGTCATATTTGCTCTTAAAAGGATTGAGAGTTTATTATGTGTAGATATGCCTGAACTGTACTAAATAGTTTTCTTTGAGGAACTATATTAAAGCAAAGTTTTGCTTGTAATTGCTCTTTTGATTTCAGCGGTCTAGGATCTTTGAGATATTTCATGATAATAGTAAATCTTTCCATCTGAAGGGAGCCTTGGCGAAACTGATAAAGTTGTTGCCATGTGACCAAGAGGTCACGGGTTCAAACCGTGGAAACAGCCTCTTGTAGAAATGCAGGGTAAGGCTGCCTACAATAGACCCTTGTGGTCCGGCCCTTATCCGAACCCCGCGCATAGCGGGAGCTTAGTGCACCGGGCTGCCTTTTTTTTAATAAATCTTCCCTTCTCAATCTGCTCAACGATTATTATGTCTTCTACAAGATCCCTTTTTCCTGTTGAATACTCAAAATTTGCATCTTTCTGCTGATATTATTTAGACTAATATATCAAAAGGCCATGTAGAGCTGGCAATTTCTTCTAGCTTATATATTCTTTAACACGAAAATTTAGTTGTACAAAGAGTACTACTCCCTTTGTCGCAAAATGCTTCTCTTTTTTTTTTGGTTATTCCATAATGCTGTCTAGTTTTGTTAAACGAGAAGTTTCTGCATGTTTTAAATACCGAAAAAAAGTTTTAAGAGCCTCACTTTTATTGTTCTTGATATGATGTATCTTTTTTTCTACTTTCTTACAACAGAAAAATCATGCTACCCCCTTCCCATTTCTCAACAGACACCAAAAAATTTGTATCTTTGTCTCTTATCCTAATAATCATGCATATTAGAACTGGACAACCAAACCACATTTGAAAAAGTAATTGGTTGACATTACAGGATTGGACTGCTGAATCATTTCCTGGTTTGATATATTTCATTTGTTTAGATTTCTCATTTGCAATGCTTACTAGTGTTATTGTTTTGAGATACTCTAGTGAGCCCACATTTCCCCATTTTCCACTTGATTTTTACTGAGAAAATAGCTTGATTCTAGCAGGAAAAAAACTAGGTACAATAGAATGGTCTTAAGATAATCGTTCTTCTATGGATCTGATTCAACAGCTTTAATGGTGACTCTGTTTCAAATTTATAATTATTCGAGGTATCTTGTCCTCTACTTGATCGTGTTGGTAATTCTTTGTCTTTCTTGGTGGCCCCGTTGCCTCAACGAGTAATTGAATTATGTAATCTTGAACAATGTACTCTATTTTGATCACCGAACATGTTAATAGACGATGTGGGAATTCTTGTCTTTGACGGGTTCCTTCTTTTCAGTATGAGGGGGAATGGAATCTCCTTCATCATTTCTTAGAAGTTAACAGCTACAACAAATCCAGTGTAATCCCACAAGTGAGGTCTGGGGGAGGATAATGTGTACGCAGACCTTATCCCTATCTTGTGAAGGTAGAGAGGCTATGTCCAATAGATTTCTTAGAATTTCTAATCTAATTTTAGCATAGGTACCTAATGGAATTCAAAAGTGATAACCTTCTCCAAATTCGTTAACACTTACGGTCATATAAGTTAAATAGAGAATTAGCATCATCTTGGTTAATCAGAAGCCCCTAAACTTGCTGACTCTAAATGTTCTCTTAAATCTCTTTTTTGGATGGGAAGGACGAAGCTTTGTCGTGGAACACAAGTTTCCAAAAAAGCGAACTCAATTCTCCTAAGCTGTAATGTTATGTGGTGGGCAATTGGACAGCCGAAAGGAAATGTCATTATGTTCGTTTAGTTCTCAACCTGCAAGTCCGAATAAGATTTATTGTGCAGCTTCCTCTATGTTCTTGCAGGGGAAAGTGTCGTGTGAAATTGTTGTGGACACACGCAGCGAAACGATTTCTCATCAGAACTGTTACCCTGAGGTATGATATTTTCTTCTGAGGCTTAATTTTTTAGTTAGTGAATTTGTTTTTTGGTATGTCGACCAAAAATAGGAGAATTGCTGTAAATGGTTAGCTATTTCCTAGAAGGTTCTGCTCAAGTACTCTTTGTCCAACTTATAAAATCAATCTCCTCTATCACTTACAAGCTCACAGTGTTACATGAAGCCAAAATGTAAAGTAATTGTTGCTCATTTACCATATACGTAGCTTGGAAGTAAACTATTGTTGTCTTTTCCTGACAGTGACTCGGTTCGTGATGGAACTGTGAATAATTATGGAAATGAAATGAGGGCAGTAACCGACTCTGCTCGAGCTCTCCTTGTAAATGTTCTTTGGTCATTCAATTCATGTGTTTCAAGGGTTTTAGATATCTGAAATATTAAGTAAGTTGCACACTGGATTCCCCATTAATGTAATTATGAAGCGCTGTCGTGTTTTGTGGGGGAAAACATTGTTACGTCTGACGTGTTTTTTCTGCAATAGTAGTATTTCCCATTATTCTAGGAAAATCATGGTACATAATATTAGCACGTGCAGACTCTCTCTCGTGTGTGCGCGCGCCTCTTTCAAAAGTTCGCCAGTTCAAAACAATGAGAAAACATTGTCCCTACCTTGAATCCCTTTTCCCAATTCCTTGAGCTTCCTCGTTCGTTGAGATGTTCATGCAAAACAGAAGGTTAGACAACGCTAAACTAAACTTCAACCCAGGAAAAGATTTTTAACTGGGCAATACAACGAGTTTACCTCCGCGAACAGACGCGTTGTGAATAAATTTATTTTATAATATAATAGCAATTCAAGCACCAAGAAAAAAGAGGTATTATCGACATGTTGTTTTAAAAGAACGGCAAGTCATTAAACATCAACACCCCCAAACCACAAAAAGTAAAAACAGACTAAAATGATCTTAGAGATGGTATGAACAAGATCATCCACGTCTTATTGATAAAGAAAAAGAAATACACTAAAAGGCTAATGCAAACTTGTACAACAGAATTGTCATAGAGCCTTAGCAACAGAAGTACCCAAGTGATTGCTAGGCTTAATTCCTAGTGGAGCAACCCATTTATAATCAGAATGATGGTGCCTACACCTGAACGAGCCTGGATGTTTTGTAGGGGAACAAACACACTGAAACTTCCTCATTCCAGCACCAGCTCCTATGCTTCCAGTTGATGCTGATGCTACTTGTTCCCTCGCAACAGGACGATATCGTCCTTCTCTTTTGTCATGGGCACCAACCCAATAAGGAACCCCCGAGTAACACATCTTCTTCTATTTCAAGAAAAAAACCTAGCTGACAATAGTAAACCAGCACTATAACGTGAAATATATAACTAAAGACTAGAGAGTATCGATCGCATGGAAGGAAAGGAGGAGAAGAAAAGTGGATCGGAGATGTACGTAGTATTATTTTAATAAAAAGAAGCTTTAGATTGATTCATATTTATCACGGATAAGGACTGGGGTTTATAGAATGGGGTTTGCTTTTTCTCTTTAGCTTTTGCAAGTGGGAAATGTAGTATTGTTTTTTTGTGTAGAAAAGGCTGTGGGAATCAAAGTGGCTTTTTTCTGTTAACAAGACTTATCTGCATGGGTACACTTGGCTTGGTTTGGGTTGTCTCTGACTGAAAGTTTTGGTGACGCGGCTGCCGGAGATTCCAAACACTTGTTTTATACTCCTATTCGTTTGTGCTATGTTTTTAGTAAATTCCAAGATGAAATACTGAGGCAAAAATTTGTTAACAACTGCTGTTTGTTGGCCCAGATTGTACCTGAAATCTGAGTTTGGAAGTTTCTGTCAATTATACGTGAGGGGTTTGTAGAAAAAGGTTAAAGGTTCCAGAAGCATTATCGACAAGTGCGCATTCATGATTTAAATTCGATAGGTTTAACTTTTAAATTTTTTAGCATTGAACTCATTATATTTTTAAAGTTATGGGTTCATATCTATTATTTGTTATCATTTAATAAATTTTTGCATATAAATTTGTGTTACACTTCGAAAATACTGGTTCATACGAGAAAGGGCTGGATCCGCCCTTGTCGACAACTTTCTTGAAGGTGGACAATCTCTTACTAGAACTCAACAATAAGTGAAAATTTAAAATTTGAAATTGAAGATTTGTAGATTCATTTTGATTGGGTTTCCATAATTGTTACTTGTTAGTGCAATCTTTTCTTATTGTTGTTTTATCTTAGCTTTTGAGCTCTCTTTTTCTTAAGTTTACTTTTAGCCACGCGAATGTTTGTTTTATTCTTTTCACTTTGTCACACTTATTACTCTTTTATCGTTTGATGTTATTAAAGAATTTATGACTCCTAATTATTTATAATTCTTACCTCCATAAATACCGTCTAATATAATTTTCTATAATCAAATAACATAAATGAAGAAGAAGGAAATACGTATTACGATACTAAAAGGAAAAATTCACAAAAAAATTAAAATAGACTGACAATTTGGGGGTTTGGGTGAATATAATTGCATTAGTAAAATGAGTAAACCACTAGTTAATAGTTAGATAGGCCTTGGAGAATGTCTACATGAACTTATGGAATTTTTGAGATGATCTCTTTGTGAATATTTCATGGATATACAATTTTTTTTTTAGATAGAGCAACATAAAGCTATTTATCTCTCATTCAATTTCATCGCGTCACGCATGAAATTCTATAATTCAACTGATTTAGATTCGCGCCAATTCAATCATAAAAGCTATTCAAGCTCATACAGTTATGCACCGCGAATTCGCATTCGATATGCAGACAGGGGCGGATCTAGTATGTCATCTACGAGTTCCCGTGAACCCAGTAGCTTTTGTCCAAACAGTGTAAATGTGTTCTAAAAAATCATTAAATATCTACAAATATTTAAATGTGAATTCAATTACTATTGAAAATTTACTCGAAGTCATTGCAGGAACCCATAAACATTAAATCTTGGATCTGTCTCTGTACGCAGAGGACAAGGAAAGAAAGAAAGAGAGTTGGAGAAAGCCCAATCTAATTTGTTTAGCCCATTCTTACATCTACTTTGATGATGTTGAAGAATTAACTCAAATAGCCGCCCACTTAATCTATTAAACTAAAAATTAGTCGATGAATGTATAATATATATATTATCCATATATAATATATATATATATAAATATAAATAATATATATATAGCGGCTAAAAAAATAAACATTGAATCTGGCCGGCTATTTATGTTACAATCCTGATCATGTTCAGTCATTGTTACGTCTACTTTGATACCTTCTGCCCTCTCAAAGGACCACGTCCGCTGGCCTATTTAATTTTGATAAATGTCTCCTCTTTTTGTAAAAATTGCACGGGGCGCCCTATTTGGTCGCTCCCGTGTAACCTATACCCATTTTTTAAAAAGCTTTAACTTGTACCTAGTTTTTAAACAATTTCAGCCCTTTTATCCTCCTCCTCCTTCGTTTTCTTCTTCTTTTTTTATGTCTAAGCTTAATACTAATTGGGTACAGAAACCAAGGGACCAATATTATCACCCTGGGGAAATATCACATTTTATGAAAGGTATAAAGAATCCAAGCGACAAGACAAAGGTAACAACAGACAAAAAAAGAAAACCATGAAACCCCAAGTTCGAAGCTTCCACAAGCCCAGAACAATAGAAAAAAAGGTGATTAATTACTGATTAATCTAGCAGGCATTGAAGATAATATTTTGTAATGAACTCAATTGAAATAAGGAAAATAAACGAAAATAATGGAAATAGACTTGTTCTTCCTTTTATGTTTTGGTTAGAGATATAAAAAGTTGTTGAGAATTGATAAAGTAAACGTGATCTTATGGATTCAACTTCAACTTATATAGTATTGAAATTTTTACAAATGAACTAATTAACTTCGGCATCTTCTGCTTAAGTTTTTGAAAAAGTTTATCCATGACAAAAAAACTTCAGCACTAAATGCTTAAGTTCAGCAAATAGAGAACAAAACTTCAGCACTAAATGCTTAAGTTCAGCAAATAGAGAACAAAATTTCAGCACCAAAATGCTTAAGTTCAGCAATTACAAACAAAAACAAGTTCATCAAATAGAGAACAAAACTTCAGCACTAGAATGCTTAAGTTCAACAAATAGAGAACAAAACTTCAGCATCAAAATGCTTAAGTTCAACACACTTGGTCTACTTCAGTCCCGGCTACTAGAATGCTAAAGTTTTGCGCGATTGTCTTTGCTACTTCAGCCCCGTATGCTGAAGTACCGCGAAAAAGTGGGTACGCTTGTAATTTTTTTTTGCAAAACAGGCACAAGTTAAAACCTGATCGAAAAAGTGAGTATAAATGCAAATGTCCCTCTTTTTGTCTCACTCTTTCTCCAGGCCCCGGCCTAAAGAGAAAGAGACCAGTCCTTGACTCCCCTGTAGATGATTTCCCGCTATTCATCCTTTCATTTTCTTTTTTCTTTTTTAGGCGTAACAGAAACTGAGAAAAGATAAGATCAAGTACAAAGAGAATATGAAGAAACAAAGATAGAAAGCAAGATCCAGTTTCTCTTTCTCTCAATAATTTAAGCACAAATATTTGCTCCAGTTAAATGGAACAACATTAATAATGTAAATTCATATTAGTAGTAAATTGCAACTTGTTTGGAATTAAAACTCAATAGTTATTGTTATTAGTTTAGCATGAAATTTGAGAAATCATATAATCAATCTAAATTTTTTGGAATTGAAACGTGGCTATTATTTTTAATTTTTTTAGTAAATAAATTTTTATTACCAAAATCGAAACTATATGTACATAAGGAAAAAAAAACTGACTGTTGGACATGAAGCCCCAACATCAGGATCCGCACAAGTCTCATCTCACAACTACACCATCGCTAACTACTACAGCCACGAAAGTTAAGGATAGAAATTTAACTGATCAAGTTTTCTAGCTAATCTTGTCTGCATTGTTCCTCTACAACATATCTCTTGGATAATTTATTTCATAATATGCTCTGAATCTGACGGTTTAGGTCAATTGGTTTTTTGGCTCTCTACAAACTTACAGTTTTATGATCTTACCTCTTTTTTTTACGCATGGGAGATCTACTTTTACACGTAAGAGATTTAAAAAGATTATTTTCTTAAATTCAAAATTATAAAAGAGCATAATATACAAATAGCCCGACGATTTACTTTGGAATACCCGTTGGTTTCTTTCTTTTCAAATGTAATACACACAGTTGCAAGTGAGACGTAGCTATTATTTGTGTTATAAAAATATAAACATAAATATCAACTCTAATAGAATCCAAGGTTCATACTCTGAGTTGTCTAAATTAAAGGCCATGTGATCCCATCAAATGTTCTAGTCAAACATCTCAATTTAATTGCATAATATATGTATGATTAATGACAATAGTTTATAGACCTATTAAATCTCCACAACTGAAGAATAAAAACAATTAGAAAAAATGTCACCGTATAGCCGCTATAACAATAATAGTCCAAAAAATATATAAAATTTGTATATTATTTTAATATA